TAGACTCAAATGGAGAAGACAGATGAAGTGCAGGTATGCCTGATTAAAAAAAAAGAAAAAGAGGCAGACTGTATGACATAGTTCACTGGTTACGAAGTCTTGGACTGCAGCACATGGCTAGCACTAGATTGCACTCCGTGATTCAAGTGGTTTCCTATAATTCAGAGAGTCAAAGGGAAAATAACTTCAGAGGTTCCTTTACAGTCTCCTGCGTGAAAGGTTCAAACGTACGGGTGCAGGCTCTCTACCACACACACACACACACACACACACACACACACACACACACACACACACACACACACACACACACACTTATACACACAAATGGTTCACACACTGGCACACTAGCCTAGTGCTTTGAAGGCTGAGACTCTGTTCCAAAGAGACAGGCTGCCAGAAGAAGTTGACCGAGCTAAGGAACTGATGAGCAACTCTCTCAATTTCTCTCCGAGTGTGTGTCTATGCATGTGTGCAAGTGTATGAGCATGCATGCATGATCAACTACGCCTGTTTATGAATCCATGCATGTGTAATCGTTGATGTGCACCTTGGTAACCTGGGGCCGCTAAAGGCTTGGGTTTAAGAGATGGATGTCTCTGTGTCCTGGCTCTAATGCAGTTTCTCCTAATGGTGCTAATATATAGAACACATAGTGTAAAATACAGGCAGCAAGCTGCACCCAATAAGCCCATGCATTTCAGCCTCTACCACACCTTTCCCCCTGAGAGGGGAAAAGAAAAAAAGTGAATTGAAAAACAGGAAAGGGCGATGAAAACTAAAACAGATGGTGAGGAAGAAAAGAAAGTGACAAAGAATGTGAGAAGTAGGGGGTGAGAAGCAATTTGAGGAATGAGAAAACAGGAGAAAAAACTGGAGTGACGAAAATTGAGATGCCAAGAGAGTCATAGATTGGAAACTAAACATGGTGTCATTTAACACTTCCAAAAGCAAAGGAGAGAAATAAAGTGAGAAGGGGGAATGACTCCCCTACTTTGTGTTTTGTGTGGTTTCCCCCTTGTATTGAGGAACTACTTCAAGAGAGATGGGAAGAAAGGCAAAAGGGGGAGTAATAGACATAGAGAAAGGGACAAGGGCTAACAAGGGGACAAGATGGGAGGGGCATTTTCTACCATTGTAGACTATTTGATAGAGGACGCAAAACAGAGTTTGTGTGGACTGTCTACACATTCTTCAATGTCCACACTTCCAGCCTCAAGTGGCAGAATGCGCGTGTGAGATGGAGAGAGGGAACGAGAGAGTGCGCTGAAAGGTATTCGGTCCATGAAGCACTCAAGTATCAGTAAGGGACAAGGAGTGCATTGTGAAGCATCTCCGTAGGAGCCATCAAGTCACTTTTATGTCAATAGATGGCTCTAACTTGCAGGCATTCCACCATGTTGGCTCTCAGCTCTGTTCCTGTGCAGAATTGAACAACCCGAACCTTCCAATGCTTCTGTTACCCTGAGATAACGCTCCCCCGTGACACTTTAATGTATACTCAACCCGACCACAACATCCACGATGTAGCCAGCTTGGCTTCTTTAAAACAGAAAAAATCAATGTGATCCCAAACTTTTAACGAAAACACATATAGTGCATTAGAGGCGACTCAAGCCAATGCATTGAGCCTAACAAAACAAAAGATTAGAGTAATGTATGCATGATCATTTTACATTCAATAAAGGCAGGAAACTACCTTAAAACTAAATTGCTCAGAAGCCATTTTGAAAGAGAGGCATTTCAGTTCGAAACACAATAAAACAGAGTGAGTCATTGAACTGAGGCCAGTATATCGCTAAAACAGATTAGGCGTAACTTTCATGGCCACAGCTTTGTTTCCCCTTCAACCCAGTGTATCCCAATGGGGAGATAATCTGGGAAATGCAGCGATATCAGGTCCTCTCCAGGTTGCCTGAGAAGCCTTGTGAGACCCTCTGGAGATATGAGGCTTTGATATCAAGACCAATTATGTGGTATGGACACACACACACACACACACACACACACACACACACACACACACACACACACACACACACACACACACACACACACACACACACAGGCCTTGGAGAGTGGTAGAGAGGAAAACAGAGAGAGAATGTGATACTGAGGAAACACTGGGCAGGCGGAACATGCTCTGATTTTATCAGCCAGTTGAGCTGGACTTGAAAACCAGAGACGATACAGACATAGAGGGAATGAGAGAGTGGAAACCAGACAGGCTGAAACAGACTGAAGAAGAGGGGGTGTGAGTATGGGAAAGAGCTAAGAAAACTCACAGTCGAACACCCAAACCAACTGCAATGTGTGGAAAAACCCCGATACAGCCTTCAACTCGACCATACAATATGCAACACACTGCATGAGCGTATCTTTACTTTACTGTATGCATCGATACACAAAAAGGCTCATTCACAGCTATTTGCAACAAACACATACTGACAATATGTGATAAACAGTTGTTTCCGGTCTGAGTCACCTCCATAGAGGATCCCTCAAGATTACGTTTGGCCTCTGGCTCTGCTAATTGGAGCTTAAAGTCTGGTGTAGCCTCTGGGCAGTGTATGCTGTGTGTGGCACATGCTGTGTGTATCTGCGTGTGTGTGTGTGTGGCTGCGCATGTGTATAAATTATGTATGGCAAGGGCTGTAGGAGAGTGGCCACACAAGCAGCTGCCAGAGCGAGTGGAGAGCCCGAGCCAGGCCAAAGCAATTGCAATCAGAGCAGCGCCACATGACACAGACAGGTGGTTTGATAGAGAGACAGCAGAACGGGCGACAGGGAGGAAGATGACAGCAATATTGAGACAGAAAAAGGATGAGAGAGAAAACAATGGGACAGCAGGAAAGAGCACTCAATGTGATCTGAAAAATTGAGGCACTAATGGTGACATTAATGAATTATTTACAACCAGATATTCTAATTTCACAGAGCATTGCTTTCCCCTCATTGCTATTTTTGTTCTACAATCATTGCCAGATAATGCTCATCATTATACCTGCGTGAAACAAAGAATTAGCCATGCATAATACAGCTCACCATAAGACCACTGCTTCATAATGTATAGCCTGTACCAGTAAAAGTAAGACAAAAACTCTTAATTATCAAGTTATGGACATGAGATTAACTCACTCTTAAACATGGGTTAGGATATAATTGGCTAAAATAGCTATGATACCTTACTCACATCACTTTTTACAGTAAAATGGTGCAACAGTCTGACAGCTGCTTCACTCCCTCAATACATACACATTTTCTTTCTGTTGGTGTAGAACATGTATATTTGTTCTGTATATGTTGTTTGGACATCTAATCTTGTAGCTGTAAGGTGTTGCCACAGTTTGATGAATATAAGAGTAGCATGTGGGTGTCGCTGTGTGGTGGAGCGACAAAGGGAGAGAGGTGGATGAGCAGCTGCTAAAGTGTAGGGGTTTGGAGGAGTAGCGGAATGAACAGTGAAGTGTTTGAAGTGATGCTGTATGTACAATGCAGGTTTTAGTTTGTTTATGCATACATGTTGCAGCTCTTAAGCATTTAAGGATGTGTTTATATTTTCTATTGAATGCAACCTAGGTCTGATCGGTTGAAAAGAGACCATTATTAGAGTAATCCAGAAGAACACACTTTTAAAAACACCATTATTCTATCGTAGAACTTGTCAAATTCAATTATTTGTCTCTAATGTAGTTACACTGTGGTGTTTGATATCATTGTTGGGATATGGCTTTGACTTACATCCGACCATTTATTCTAATAGCTAGAAATAAATGATTGCTAGGCACTATCACCCTGCCTAAATGTAACTCTCATTGGATTATAAACTGCAAATTCTTTACAGCGTTTTCCCTGTCTTCCGTTGCTGTGCTCCTCACCACGCTGTCAGGAGAGGAGCCTATCACACTGGCCAGCTGGAGGAAGTGTCACCTGAGTCATTTCCATTGTGTGATAAGGTTCTACAGTTGTAGGGCATTCTACAGGAACTGCGAGCACCGGGTGGGCTCACAGGTTAAACTGGTTGCCACAGATTTCCCATCACCTCTCTCCTTGTTTCTGTTACTCTAAGTCTGACAGGTGTGATGCACTGTTGTGCTGTTTTTTTTTCGTTGTTGTTGTTTGCTGTCAACTTGGTGAGTGGGTTACGTGTGAGTAATACAGAACTTCACAATTGATACTTTAGCAGGATGAATACTAAATGAACAGTTACACGCCTATAGCTTGGATCTCTGGACTGAGAGGTGTCTCTAGTGCAGTGCAAAACAAGTATAACAATTTAAATACTTTGTGCCAGCCTTGTTCATTTTGCACCAAGGTGCACCATGAGTCAGACGTCATTGACAATACAAAGAATTCATTATTTTAATGTGTTTATCAAATGTTGTTATACAGTTTGCACTATTTCTATTTCAATTGTATTTGTATTTACATGTTTGCACATCTCAAAACATTCTCTTGCACTATTTTATCTGTTGTATTTGTTTCATGTCATATTCATGTTGCACGGTTGGAGGAGCCTGTGATAGATAGATAGATAGATAGATAGATAGATAGATAGATAGATAGATAGATAGATAGATAGATAGATAGATAGATAGATAGATAGATAGATAGGTACTTTATTGATCCAAATTCGGGAAATGTTTGCGTTGCAGCAGCATAAAAAACAAGGCAATATAAGAGAAATTAAGACACAAGAAATAAACAGTCCAAAATATTTCTGAAATATAAATAAAATAGCATTATAAAGTTAAATATATATATATATATACGTGGATGAGGAAAATATAAATGTGGAAATACAACTTTCCAGTAACAAATATAATGCAGTTGTATAATGCATGACTTAAGTTTTTCATTGGCATATCTACACTGTAGCTACTGTGCACATGACGATAAAGCCTTGAATATTGAATCTTGAATCTTCCGGCAACCTTTCTACACAAGAGCTATCTCGAAGCACAAAACACATTGCAGCACTGATTCAAACACACACTGACCTGAGAGACATGATTTTGTATGCATCAGGCAGGTAACAGCGAGTGTTCTCCATCTGGGCGGGGTCCGAGTCGCAGATCTTGTCATCGGTGCGGCCGTAGTTGGCGCTCTCGATCATGATGACGTCAGTGCCGGGGCAGCGCAGCTCGATGGGGTAAGACTCACATGACAGCTCCCTCCGCACCACTGCCATAGGGATAGGGGCACGGCCACCGGCTGGAAACAAAGACACAAACACATACACATTGGTACAAGGTTAATGCCCCTGCTATACTGAAACGTGCTACTAGTTTTTATGCCTGTCTTTGAAATATGTGCACTGGAGGACTAAATTGCACAAGCATAAAATGTGTTCAACTAAGACTGCATTTGTACCCATGTCATATAGACTAATTATCCAGACTATGTGAAAACAATAGCATCACAGAAGATTATTCATAAGGGCATGTCCACTGTCGCGAGTGAACCGACTTGGTAATTATTGTTTTGCAGTTAGCAGTTTTGGACATCACTCTAGATAGAGAATAATTGCATGGAAATGTTAACAGGCATTTAGTGCTGCAGAGATTATTTAAAGATGGCAATGCCTAATTATTCTCAGAAGTTTCAAATTCGCGGCAAACTGTACATCCACTCTTACTGTCCTGAAAGAGGAAACCTGTCATTAATTCCAATGAGATTGAAACCACTGATCTGTCCCGGATCTTTTTTTACTGCCGCTGCTTTGCTTCCTTGCTTGTTTAATGATTAGAACTGGTGAAGACTGTCTTGGATAATGAAACATCTGAACAGACCAAAACGGCAATCAAGCTGCCATCGACTAATTAAGTTTAGATATCTTATATCCTATATGCCTGGCAATCTTCACAAAGGGAGCTTGCAGCAGCCTCTGCACTGCAGTTTTTGCCTGTGGTGCAAAGATGATGGGACATATGCTCTAAATATTCCCATCTGAGACAACACACGCTGTAAGCTAAAACCACATCAAAATTAAGCAGAATTTTTTTTTGCAGCTATACGTCTAGCATGCCTCACCTTGCAGCAGGTGATGCTATCACATCTCAGACCTTATACATGGCCGACCTTTTTGACATTGTCATTGTTAAAAGCATAGTTGAAACAAATGTCCTTAAAGAGGGCTAATTTCCATCAAGTATCCAGTATGCCATGTCCCAACACCTGGAATCTAAACCTACTCCACTGCTAGGAATATAGACATTTTTGATGTTATCAATAACACATAGCCTTTCCTGCTGACTCGTCATATCATTTAATGTGATGTAAAATTGATCTCTTGTGGTCAACCAGTATGTCATTGTATCGCTTTTTGCCATATGTGGTACCTATCTTAGTAAAATAATTGTGTTGACTATTAATCAGTCAATGTAACATAGTTTGCATGACTTATTGTAAGACAACGAATATGTTAAACGATAAAGCTTGGGTTAGTTTATCTTCTTTGAAATCTAACTTAAATTCAGGTATTTTATATTATCCTGCTTACAATTATGTGCATGATGTATATTTGAAATAAAACTCCATTGCCATCCCAAAAACTAAAACTAAAAGTAAAGCATGGTACCCATACTGATTTATTTTCAACCTAATGAAATAAATTAAACACATATGGCTCTTTTGTTAGTTTGTCATGACCAGATTAGATATTTTGATTACAGTAGCATGCTTTGATATTGATGGTTTGGGGCTGGATGTACCCAGGGATATTGGTTGTTGTGGTGCAGCTTGGTTGTTGTTATTCTCTGTTTCTTGAGAGCAGTGAGCCCTGGGAGCATCAGGCATCCTCCCTTGATAGATAGATAGGTTATCAGCTCAGGTGTTTGCTTGTTTTGTTCAGCGTTGCTACTTTCGACCTACTGTTATTGTAAGGTAGATTTGATTGTGTTTATTTTTACACAGCATTATATTTTGACCTCATCTGAGAATTGTAGCTATATCTAGTGCAATATACATAATATACATTGTCCCTGTTGAGTAAACAAATAACATATATTAGGATGTGGCTACACGCCCAGTGATCGTGACTGCTTGTTGCTCCATCGCTTTTATTTGTATCGTAGAATTCATCTTGTCAAGGTGTGTTAAATGCACATACACATGTTCGCATACGTGTGAACACACACCCATTGAACAGGCGACTAACCGCAATTCATCACACAGACCTATAACATCCGAGGCACGGCACCACCTTACTTGCTCTCCCTGTCATGATAACCATAGCAACCCTGTCCTCCCTCCCTTGGCTCCCTCATTGGCTGAAGGGGCGTCATGGTTACACGAATGCAGCAAAGAATCTGAATGAGCTCAATGACACTCGGCTCGGGCTCTTCTTAATACTGCCCTTCACAACATCACACACACACACACACACACACACACACACACACACACACACACACACACACACACACACACACACATATGTACACATAAAAATGCTCTGAGGGATGACATGGAGAGGGAGAAAAGTGTGTGGTGCTGGTACCTGAGGGCACTACATCAATAATAACAGGCGCTAGCTTAGAGATAAGACTGATATATAAGTGACATTTACTGAAAATATCCTTTATAATGAACACACACACACACACACACACAGACACACACACACACACACGTATATGACTCAGAGGTCGCATTAACCGAATATTTTCCGTCTATGACGGAAAAATCTGAAAGCAGTCCGTCATTTTGACAGATTCGAACAAACTCGGAACAGCGCCAAAGTTTCCCCGCAGCGAGGCTCCGGTGTTATGGTGTTATGCATGCCCGCCAAAAAGGAAATGATACCGTTTCCAAACCTAACTTTGCCGTACAAATCATTGAAATGTCTGTGAGTTTTGGCTTTACACTGTGCGCGCTCCCGCGAGGTGCAGTGGGCATGCATAACACGGCGCTAACAGTTGACAGCGTGCTCTTCACCCCCCCGTCAGAGTTGTGTAAAGGCCGATGGGTAATACTGGATTTTGACGGAAATGTTACGATCCTGTCCGTCAAATTGACGGGCAGCGAAAAAGTCTAGCGCAACCTCTGATATGACTACAGGCTATGATTAGACTTTAAGCATACTTTCAGATACGATATGTTTCTTGATAGTGGTTGAAGATTTGAAGGACATTTTGTGTGTGTGTGTGAGGGGAGTGCTTAGGGCAGTGGGTCATTATTGTGTTGTGTTGTGTGTATGAGTGTTAGTTAATACGTTTCTCAATGCATCATGTCCGCCTTCGTGAGCATGAATGTAATTTTTGAAGAGAGGGTTAATTGAAGCGTAGTGGATCAATACACCGTATTGTAAGGCAGGCGTCTAGACTGGCTTTGGATCAGATGTCTTACAGTTTTGCCTCACAGGGTCCCCGCTGGGCATAAAGAGAGCATTATGACACACACACTCTCACACATACACACAATTCAAATAAGGGGTCTATCTGTAGTCCAATTAAAAGCCACTCAGCCTTCATGAGCGGCAGTAAATTCTCTGACTCGCACAAACTGTCCTGTCTCGTCTGTCACCGTTTAATTTATCTATTTATATCATCACCAATAAAACATGCACTGTGTTTCACCTGCCTCTAAAGAACTCGCTCTGCATATCTCTGTCACTTTTTTTTCACAAACTAGTAGGTGCAATCACAAAGTCCATTTTGATAGAGACCCATAATCCACACATAAACGCACCAATATTTAGCCCTTTGTCTTTGCACACATGCAATAACGTGTGTAAGCTGGCAAGTGCATGTTAATGTGTCTGTCATTAGTTGTGTAAGTGGTGACAGAAACTTGGCAGGCCCAGACCGTACAGACAATCTTATTCAGACACTCTCATTGCCTCAGGGGGCTGAAACAAAAGGATATCGATTTTTACATTTGGGCCAAGAACAAGAGAGTGGCGAAAGAGGTGGATAGATGGAAAGAAGGAGAGGGTGAGAGGGAAGAGGAGAGAGATTTAAAAGGTGATCTCTCACTTGAACTGCCAAAGCATTTGGCCGCTGCTGGTGTCTGCAAAGTGGGTCTTATGAGTTATAAAAATCCCACCACATTTTTGAAGCGCAAAAATAAGGATATGGTTGGCAACATTTGATATGTTGTTTTTCCTGCTTTCAGTATATCCCATGAGAAAATACAAATGAGTTAAATCTACTAACAAATACTGCCTGCAAAATCTGACATTTTTCCTCTATGCTAGAGAGTGCAACTGTTTAAAACTATTTATCCAGAATATAAAGCTGGGTTTCATTATTAGTATTGACCCTGGACAATGTACTTATATTGAAGTGTAGGTTATTCTTTCACAGCTAAAACTACAGTTCACAGCTATTTTAAGTATCATCTCATTTTGAAATAGGAATAGACTACCACAGATAGGCTCAAATGTATTGCGAAATGATTAATACATAGTTGGTTGTTGTTGTTCTACATGTTTCTTGTCAGCATTTACCAGGAAAAGACATCAACCTTATCTTTAATACTCAGTAATGCCCACAGTTGTATTATGTCCTCTGCAGAGACAGGGAATTTATCCCAATAATATAAGTGTTCAAAACCGATTTATAAACAAGTACGCCATCTCAGGTTAACCAGTGTACACGGCAGAAATCTTCTCTGAACCCAAGGGAAAAAAAGGAAAAAAACATGTTACTATGATTGTCTGTCTTTGCTTTTCTCTTTTATTTGTCTTCAAATAACCCTGAAATAATGACACGACACGGCTCGGTGGAAAATATGGAGTGCTTGCTGCTGTGGGTCCTCAAGCTAAACTGTCTTTGTTTAAACTAATCCTTACTAAGTATAAACAGCATGATTTGCATATGTCGACTTATTCTCTAGACGTTGATGCAAATACCTTGGACTGAAACTCATCTTCTGGTGTTAAAGCAAATCTCTTAGTGTTTGTGTGGCTGCTTGTGAGCACATCCTATGTCAGTGTGTACGTGTGTGTGTGTGTGTGTGTGTGTGTGTGTGTGTGTGTGTGTGTGTGTGTGTGTGTGTGTGTGTGTGTGTGTGTGTGTGTGTGTGTGTGTGTGTGTGTGTGTGTGTGTGTGTTTAGGAGAGGATCTGTGTCCCTCTGGGTGTACAGTATCTCATCATTTAAAGTAAATCATCTGTGCACATGCATGTCAGTAGCAGTGAACACTTACATGCTTGGGTGTGTGTATGTGTGTGTGTGTGTGTTTTCCTCACAACAGTATGATTGACAGTAGCCATTAATAGGATTAAGTCCAAGTGGGCCAGCGCTCCCTGTTGGAGTCTTGAAAGCCCACCATCACAGGGGAGAGGAGGAAACATACAGACTGCCTACTGGGGTGGCATCTGCATTGTGTGCATGTGTGTGTGCAGTGAGAATGTGTGTGTGTGAGAGAGAAAGCATGAATATCTAGAGAAAGATATTAATGTATACTGCAATAAGATAGAAGATATGTGTAAATGAGCAAAGTGTTTCCTTGGTTTTGCAGCTGCTGTGTTTGGAGCAACTACTTTTCCTACAGGGTCGGCATTAACATAGCTGTTGCTGGGGCTGCTACACTCACAGACTATATTGCATGCATCCATGAACTAATTGATGTTGGGCTTATTCTGTGCACCCAGGCAGTCTGACCCTGTGTGTGTGTGTGTGTGTGTGTGTGTGTGTGTGTGTGTGTGTGTGTGTGTGTGTGTGTGTGTGTGTGTGTGTGTGTGTGTGTGTGTGTGTGTGTGTGTGTGTGTGTGTGTGTGTGTGTGTGTGTGTGAGAGCCATTACTTCATTTCTGGTTGTTTGCATACAAAGTCAATCTAAACTTGAAGAAGTAAACTTGTACAATTTGTTTTCTGAGAAGATATTAGGAAGACTAGAACGTTTTTTTTATAATAAGCCTTTATCTTAGCTGATTTATCATAGTTAGACCAGCACAGGTGTTACTAATGACATTAAAGATGGCTCTGTTCTATCCAAGCATCCCAGTTAGCCATGACAGTGTGACAGTGAGCCAGGAGGAACAATACCATGTAAATTGATATCAGACATCGTAAATTGTATAATTCACACCTGTCCTTCTCCTTCTTTGACATGTCAAAAACCCTTACATGAATAATGGCTTCGCTTTGAGGATGATAGTGTTGCCTGCAGTTTGCGTGGCTTACGTTAAGCTATTTATAGATAATCATTATACCCTGCAACAGTAGGCTGCCTACAAGTTCAAACCCAACATCTTGGGTGCCCTGATACCTTTAATGGGCGCCCCATGTCCTTGCCACAACAGCTTTTTTGTATTTCCATCAGTTCAGGTATATAATAAGTAATTTATCTTAAAGGTGGGGTAGGTAAGTTTGAGAAACCGGCTCGAGATCGCTAGAATTTGAAAATACACAACCGGAGAGAATCTGCCACTTCCTTACAGAGCCCCTCCTCCAACACACACGAACGCGCACATGACCAATGAGGGCACGAGATAAGTTTGTGCACAGATGGAAGGCTGACAGGCAGGTAGGCCATCCAGTTATTTTAGCCGGGCCGGCTAAAATGATTGGTCGTGCTTTTTACAGTACTACGGCTTCCACAGATGACATTTTTGTTTGGATTTTTTGCCAAAGCACTTAAGATATTCATTGATATCAGGATATTAAGAGCATTCCATGGAATATAACAAAAAGTGTATCTCGAGCCGGTTTCTCAAACTTACCTACCCTACCTTTAATGTTAAAGTAACTTTCCAACACCCGAGAGGACTTGTGATCAAATGTATAAAGAAAGAATGTTTATGTTCTTCAAATGCTGATTTGTATGTATTAATTAGATTATAAATGTATGTACATCTAAAGTCTTAAAAATACTTTTTACGGCATGTCCTTGCAGGGGACAATGGGATTTGCTTCCTATCATCTTTAACCATTCCTCAGGAAACAGAGCACTGAGCGGATAAAAAAGATTATGTTAAAAATTATTGAGGAAGAGCCAGATATTGTTCTTTCACGGGATAAGGAGGATAAGAAGCAAGCAGTAGAGCAATTGTAAAAAAAATATATTTATATTCATCATCAGTATTTATCAAATTATTTAAAAAAATAATATAAACCAAAATAGTTTTTTGCAATTATATAAAAAAACTAAATAGTTAGATATTTTTTCTAATCAGGTTTTATATTACGGAGCAAACATATTTAAAACACCATACAACAATTGCAGTTCAACAAAACAGCACTTAAAGCAGCCTCAATGTTGTGTACTTGTGCACTGTGTGTGGTCTTTCACTTACCAATGGCAATGGGAGCAAACAAGGTGAAGACGAAGAGCAGGCATCTGGTCCACATGACGTCTGAGGGTGACCGGGAAGTAAATATGGAGGTACTTCCTGCTGAGCCCAGACGGTGTTGTGGTGAGCTGTTTTTCTCACAGCTCAGTGTTCCTGACACCATACAGGCCTGCAAATAAACAGAGAGGATGTGTTCACTTGGATGCCACGTCTAAACACGGTGCCTTATCTTCGTGTATTAGGAATATATAAGCTATCACAATAGACAGTATTTGCCCTTCTACATTTCTTAGCTCCTTATGCAATTATCTTTAGCAACCATTAAACATCTAATGAGTGAATTCGCTATTAAAGTTTGTTTTTTCGACATTTCCTAAACAGTTTTCCCAGCTTCATATCAGACAACCAACTGCAAATTGCATCTGTGAAATATATCCTTCAAGCAACAATGGATCTTACTGATCATACCGATAAAACTGCTTAAAACATTACGTTTAAAAAGTGAATGGAAGTAAACTATTTATCTGATATACAGTTACTATATATACTCATTGTAGATTAATGCCTTAACAAACAGCCCTTCACTTAGGTCAATGCAGCTTCCTCTAGGCATGCCATAGTAGACTAGACACTAATCAATAATTATCTTAAACGATGCTGAGAGAAATACAAAGAGCATGGAATGATTAAGAAGGATTATAATAATAACACAAAGGATCCATACCGGCTATATGAAACAACTTTTTAAAGTATGAAGAATAGGTATAATATGAGAAAAGTCAAATCAGATTTAGGGTTGAGTGGTGGTGAACAGTGCCTTCCTATATAGAATATTTACAAGTGTTCTATATTTAGACATGTCAATCAATAGAAAGTAACTAAGGTCGATAACCATCAAACTGATCCCTTCATTATACATTGTTACAGAGTAGATTTCAAACATTTACATTATGATATTTCTACTCCCACACACATTAGTTAAGCCCCTGTCACACTGTCCCGAAATTGACACCAGATGGACACACGAATATGGAATTGTGAATTTCGCACGAAGATGGTCCCGATTTTGGTCAACAGCCAAGCAACCCCCGAAGCAAGTACGATGCCTACAGAAGGTCACACGATGGCACCCGAAACAACACACGGAAATATGGTCGTAGACTTTACTGATGATTTAGAATGTATCCAGACTCAACGTAAGAGCTTGTGCCTCTTCGGGGGGTGCTAACATTTAAACATACACTTTATTCTTTACTTTCTCCGTCTTTATATGTAGATTAGAAGTTATTACTTATCTCTGTCATGTTGTTTCCATAGCAACAACAACTTCCTGTCAACAGCGTAAACTCACCTTCAAAATAAAAGCATCTAAATAAAACAGGAAGTTAACCTAAATTACCTTTAAGATATACAACTGCAACGAAAGTAACAAAAACAATGTAATATCCTTTTCAGTTTCACAGAACACAAATTGGGTTATTTACATAATATGTTTACATGATTTTGTTGTGCAATAAATGCAATCTTGATGTCATCGTACTATAATACGATGGCTACACAACGGCATTGCGAGGGCTTCACGTAGTCGTGTTGCCTTCCTAAGACAATCGGGCAGCTTCTTGTTTCCTTCGTATTGTCTTCGTGAGGCGAAAAATGCCCGATGGCACCGATGATCAGACGAAGATGACACAATTTGACAAGATGCACTCACGAGTGCCTTACAAAGGGCAAAATGGACACACGAATTCAACACGAAAATGAACCTTCGCAAGGTCCTTCTGCAATTTTTTGGCATGCCAGAGATTTTGCCACCGCTCACGAAGTTGCTGCCGGAGCCTGAGAAACTCCACCGGCGGCCATACGATGGATTAAGATGCCCTCATGAATGGCCCGATGTTGTTACGATCAGAGCCGAATTTGAACATTTCCTTTATCGTGTGTCCATCTGGTGTCAATTTCGGGACAGTGTGACAGGGGCTTTAGGGATTTCATTAAGTTATTCTTCCTTTTTCTAATGATTTAAGTGTCCTAAATTATCTCACATTAAGCTCTAACTGGTTCTAATGCACAAAAACACATATTTCTGTAGCATTTATAGCTCCAAAACAGCCGAAATGATACTGAATAAACACTAACAATAACGGTAAACAATAGACCATATGCAGATTAATTAAAATCTGTAAAGGAAATGTAATACTAAACGCTTTTAGAGAAACACAACAAGTTGGTGCCTAATGCCGGCATAATGATGCTTCTGCCTGTATTAGGTTTCACTTCACTTGAAATTCCGCATCAGCATCAAAGTGTGAAATGTATTGATGTTCCAATCTAATTGTTCATTTCATGGTCTATCAGCGATAAACAATTAATAAGAGCATGGTCTCAAAGATTAGATATAGCAGTGACAGACTGGTAGGCACCATGTCTCTGTCTTTTTCTAAACTGATTAAGCTGACCAGAATTGTTCAATCACACGCTCTTTCGCCCACTCGATCAACCGACAATTAACTCAATATCCTTCTTCACTCCAAAAATAATATTTTTACTATGAAAAACTATTAGATTTATGCATATTATCTGTAAAAGGCGGAGGTGTATGTTGTTCTCATATTTTAATGCTTCACAAGTGTCATTGAATCACCTTTTGTCCTTTCGCAATCAACATAGTTGATGTTAAATAAACATAATTTTTCATGGGAGTAGTTCAAAGGTAACAGCAGTTCTGTTTTGTGCCTAAATGTTTAGTGTTCTCAAGGGAACTCATACCCAGCCAAGTAGCATTTGTGTGTATGTGTGTCACACTGAGAAATAGGGACTGCAGAAATGTGCAACAGCCGGGGACAGATGGAGTAAAGCTGACAGCCAGAGCCATGGGAAATACATCATGTGTAACAGAGACTATTGATCAGTGTGACCATATCATTTTGGCCCAGCAGAGACTAAGACAATAGCCAGCTATCTCCATCATGCCATGCTGTGATGGTGAATATCTGCTTTGGCACAGCGTTGCCCTTAGATATTTTTGGAAAGCTACAACTATTGCTATTAGAATGCCAGATTTTCAGAATGACGCAGACCTTTCCATAACCACCAGAGACGTACAAGATATGCATAATGCATCTTCTGAACATCTACAATGACAAAAAGCCTCATGCTGCAGACAGGACAGAGAGACATATATACCCAGAGGCACATGTACACTGCAGCTCTGAATCTCTGGAAACAGACCCATACCAGAGACAATCACTATGATAATAGCTGTGTAGTCATCTGGGGCTTTTATTGACTATGTTCTTTTTGGGTTGTCAAAATAAATCTTTGAAATTGGAAATCTATTTGAAATTGTTGTGATAAAAACAAACAGGCTGAAATGTATTTTAGCCAAGTGATTGTAGGAAAACAATTGGCATGCCAGCATAAAATAGGCAAATACCATTTTATCCAGTCAGTTCATTTTAATATTCTGGAATTAAAATGTTAAGCTCTGAATACTAACAAATATATATCTGTATTGACTAAAAAGTAATTATTTGGTTCATGTTCAAAATACAACCTTTGATCTATTGACAGAAAACAATTAACGGCTACTCTCGAAAGGCTTACCAAAAGCTGAAGCACGCTTTTTATCTAACATTGCTTTTCACAAGTTTAACATCTAACAACACTTATGCTATTGTGAGAAAAAACATGGACATGCTGTGCATCTTCAATGTTTGAAGTTTCTTTTATTTTCATGTGACATCAATTCAACCAGTTTGGTGTCTTGACATACAAAATACATTTCTCAATAACGTACTGGTCAAAATCTTAATCCAACAACTTTCTTTCTTTCCAACTGTCTACAAAATACCCTCAAATGCTGCCCTTACAAATGTATTCAACTTTTCTCGACATAAGGAGCTGCAACTGATTTGATGGATAGTGCATCCATAATGGCACCAGATTGATAGTATCACAATAGATAGACTTTTTTCTTCCTTCCGCTTAAACAACTCAACAAGCTGCCCCATTTTGATTGATTTGTCCCTAACCCGGTTGAACATGAGCAATCTGACCAGCTGTCCCCATCTAGACACAGGAGGCATATGCTGACATATGGCAGGACGCCACCAGCCACAGCATTCCACTGTTCCATAATTCAAAAGCTATTCCATCACCCCGTATGCTGCGCCACCATCTCACCCATCAGTTAATTAACCCTATCATTTTCCACCATGCTCAGGATGTCTCAACCAGACAATAATTGTGTTACCGCCTTGAGCGATCCAGGAAGAATCGAAACTCAAATCACTCAAGTTATGTTCATTATTCAGCAGGGCGACATACTCCCATATGTTTGGATAATGACGTTAAAACATGTTCCATCTACAGAGTCCTTATTGCATAGACAATAGTGATCGCCTTAAGCATTTCCCACTTTCTCTAACCTGTTTCCTTCCATTATCTTAATGTGTTCGTTGTTTAATATATTATGAATAAACAGGCTGATGCTAATTAAAGAACATATGCGTTGCGTTTACACCTTGTATTATCACACGTTCGCATATGGTTTGGCAAACATACTATGCTCCATCTGAACCCACTTACGGTTAAAACTATGAAATTATGTAGCTTTTTATTTTAAATCAATTCTATATTTCTGATCTTGAGCTAGTTACATCCCACGAGGACCGCCCTGGCAGATAAGCAGCATCTGCATAAAACTGAGCAAAACATCAACTAATAAGCAGGATCAGACAAAAACAAATGGCCGTCCAGATCAAAGTCCTTTACCTGCTGTTTGCATCCATCTCTGCCCCAGTCCGATCTGCTCGGTAGACGGCAATTAATTATTCCAGAAATATAAACATTCTTTTTTTTCTTCTTTTCAGACTGTTTTGCCAACAAACTTCGTAGCGTATAAGACTCACAACATCTGTGACACAATATACTTTAAGATTAGATTTGAAGTTTAATCTTTTAAAATGCAGTTCATTATTATTTCAATGACTACCTATTATTTAGGGCACCACACTGGGACAGTTTTGTTCCCAGAAGTCACTTGGTTTCTGTGTTTTATATTTTCCTGCCCTGAAACTACTTTTCCTACAGGGTCGGCATTAACATAGCTGTTGCTGGGGCTGCTACACTCACAGACTATATTGCATGCATCCATGAACTAATTGATGT